TTGAAACCTGCAATTATTTTAAAGGTGTGCTCATACTTTTTAGAATATTTATATTTTTGAACTTGTGGTAAAATATACATAACATAGTATTTACCATTTTAGCCATTTTCAAGTGTGCAGTTCAGTGGCGTTAAGTCCCATTGCCGTGCACAGCTCGCCAACCCTCCAGCTCCAGGACGTCCCATCATCCCCTGCGGAAACTGTCCCCTTGAGCACCAGCTTTCCATCCCTCTCCTTCCTGCTCCTGGGAACTACTGCTCTACTTTTTTGTCTCTGTGAATTTGACTGCTCTAATACCTCATATAAGTGGAATTATATAGTATTTGTTCTCTGAATGGCTTACTTTACTTAGCGTAATATTTTCAAGATTCATCCATGTTGCAGCATATGATAGGGTTTCCTTTGTTAAGGCTGAAAACATTCCACTTTATGTATATAGTATGTATATACTAACTTCTCCATGATTGTTTTTTCTGTGTGTGTGTGTGTGTGTGTTTGCTTCTCCGTTCATGTGCCAGTGGACATTTGGGTTGTTTGTCCTTTTTGACTACTGTGAATAATGCTCCTATCAACATATGTACAAATATGTTATTTGAGTCCTTACTTTCAATTTTTTTGTGTATATACCTAGAAGTGGAATTGTTGGATCAAAGGGTAATTCTATATTTATTTTTTTGAGTAACCACCATACTGTGTTCCACAGCAAGTGTACCGTTCTACATCCAAAACCGTGCACAAGGACCCCAGTGTCTCCACATCCACATTGACACTTGTTTTTTTGTGAGTGTTTGTTTTGATAATAGCCATATAGGCGTGAAGTGGTATCTTGTCATGGTTTTGATTTGCATTTGTGCAGCAATGATTACTGATTAGTGATTTTGAGCATCTTTACATGTGTTTATTTTCCATTTGTATATCTTCTTTGGGGAAATGTGTATTCAAGTTCTTTGCCTATTTTTTAAATTAGAGGGTTTATTTTTTTTATTATTGAATATTAGGTTTTAAATACATATATGTATACACACACACATATTCATATTCTGGATATTAATCTTGTATCAGATAGTGTGATTTACAATTATTTTCTCCCATTCTGTGTCTTACTGTGTTGATGGTGTCCATTGCCACTTTCTGACATTTGACCATATGCGCACGGATGTATTTCTGGGCTCTCTATATTCTGTTCTGTTGGTCTAATGTCTGTCTTTATGCCAGTACCATACTACGGGGGGTGGGCAACAGTAGGTTTACAGATGTTGGTATGGAAAAAGACATGCAAGGTATGAGTATGACAATACATTTATTAACTCAAAAGAATGTCACTCACATTGTAACCTACTTTTGCTCACCCCTGTATTTTGATTACTTTCATTTTGTAGGAATTTTTGACATTAGGGTCTGTGAGTCCTCCAGCTTTGTTCTTCCTCCAGATTGTTTTGGCTTTCTGGGATTCCTGGAGAGTCCACATGAACTTAGGAGGGCTGTTCCCTTGTCTTCTTTAATTTCTTTTACCAGTAACATTTTTTTTCAGTGTACAAGTCTTTCATATCATTGAATAAGTTAATCCCTAAGTATTTTATCTTTTTTGTATTATAAATGGAATTCTTTTCTTTAAAAAAAATTTTTTCCTTTATTGATTTTAGAGAGAAATGAAGGGAGAGGGGGAGAGAGAGAGAAACATCGATGAGAGAGAACATTGATTGGCCGCCTTCTGCACGCCCCCCACTGGGGATCAGGCCCACAACCTGGGCATGTGCCCTGACCGGGAATCGAACCAGCGACCTCTTCATGCATGGGTCGAGGCTCAACCATTGAGCCACACCAGTGGGGCAAAACTCTTTTCTTAATTCAGACTTTTTATTGTTAATGTATAGAAATGAAGCTGTTTTTCTTGTGTTAATTTGTGTCCAACTACTTTGCTGAATTTGTGTAGTAGTTCTAACTATGTTTTTGTGAAATCTTCAAGGGACTCTACATAGATCATGTCATCTGCACACAGAAATAATTGTACTTCTTTTCCAATTTGGATGCCTTTTATTTCTTCTCTGGCTGGAACTTTACTACCTTGTTGAATAGAAGTGGCAAAATCAGTCATCTTTGTCTTGTTTCTAATCTTGGAGGAAAAGCTATCAGTCTTTCAACATTGATTATGGTGTAAGCTGTGGGATTTTCTATATGATTTTTATTATGTTGAGATAGTTTCCTTCTATTCCTAGTTGGTTGTTTTTATTATTAAGAGAGTATTATATTTTGTCAAATTCTTTTTCTATCATTTGAAATGATCATGTGTCGTTTTTTTTTCTCTTCATTGTGGTGTATCACCTCGCTTAATTTTAGTATGTTGAATTATCCTTATATTCAGGAATAAATCCCACTTGGTCATATTGCTGAATTTTTAACTACTATGTCTCTGAATATTTCTTCTTCCCCATATGTCTTAAGTTTTTTCTGGGACTCCAGTTACATGTATCTTGGATCTTCTCTCTATTTTTCATAATTTTTTCATACTCTGTTCTGTATTTTCTATTCTTGTTTCTTTTTGGCCTCCAGTATAGGTGTTTTCCTCTTTATAGTCTTTTGGGTCATTGATTCTTTCTTCAGCTATATCTAACCTATTGTTGAACTAACTCATCCATCAATTTCCTAATTTCTGTTTTCAAAATCATATATTTTAGTTTTATATTTTTTCATATTTTTAAGACTTGTCTGCTAAAATTTTTTTCAATTCTTTGAATACATTAACTTATTTGAAAGTCCTTTTCTGATAATGACACTCTCTGGATCTATTATGGATATATTTCTATGGCCTTGTTTATTTATTCATTTATTTTAAATCTACACCCGAGGATATTTTTCCATTTATCATTAGATGGAGTGTGTGTGTGGGGGGGGATGGGGAACATTGATGTGAGAGAGACACATTGATCTGTTGCCTCCCACATGACCCCAACCAGGGTCAGGGACCAAACTGAAACCAAGGTAAGTACCCTTGATCGGAATCGAACCTGATATTCTTTGGTCCACGAGCCGACGCTCTAACTGCTGAGCCAAACCAGCCAGGGCACCATTTTTATTTTTTTTATTTTTTTAAAATTATGTTTTTAGCCCTGGCCGGTTTGGCTCAGTGGTTAGAGCGTTGGCCTGCGGTCTGGAGAGACCTGGGTTCGGTTCCCGCTAAGGGCACGTACTTCGGTTGCAGTTTGTCTCTGGCCCTGGTTGGGTCGTGTGGGTGGTGACCACTCGATGTGTCCCTTTCACATCGATGTTTCTCTCTCTCTCTCTCTCTCTCCCTCCCACTCTATCTGAACAAAATGTCAAAAAAAATACTACGTTTTTATTGATTTTAGAGAGAGAGGGAGAGAGCAACATCAGTGAGAGAGAGAAAGATCTGTCGGTGACCTCTTGGTTTATGGAACAACGCTTAACCAACTGAACCATACTGGCCCAAGCTTTTTTGCTATTTTTAAATTTTGGTTTTCAGTCAGATCTTGACTGGTTATTTTTCATTTTTAGACATTTTATATAAAAATGATAAAATGGCCATGGCTGGTTTGGCTCAGCAGTTAGAGTGTCGGCCCACAGATCAATGAGTCGCGGGTTCGATTCCGGTAAAGGGCGTATACGTGGGTTGCGATTCATCCCGGCCCAGGTTGGGGTTGTGCGGGAGGCAGCCACTCAGTGTGTCCCTTTCACATTGATGTTTTTCTCTCTCTCTCTTCCTCTCTCTCCCTCCCACTCTATCTGAACAACAACAAAAAAAATGAAAAAAATGTCCTCAGATGAGGATTTAAAAAAAAAAAAAGAGAAAATGATTTGATGAAATAATTTATTCTGATAAGATTTACCTTTGTTAAATTATTTTGAGAAGGTTTACTGACGTGCAGCTAGGTTGAGGACACTAGGTGGGTCAGAACCTTAGTTTCGGCAGGGATTGAGACGGGTAGGAGTTTGTAGAATGACTGGCGGTGATGTGATTGCCACACTTCTCTCCTTGTGTGGCCTGGTATGTCTCTAGTTTACCTTTACACCCAGACTCCGGGTTCCTTCCGGGTTCCTGGTGTGTTCACTGGGGCTGTTCCTCCTGGGCAGGCCCTGGGTCTCATTGTTGTCCTCACGCATAGCTCTCTGCTCAGCTTCTCAGGCTCTCGGCCCAAGATGCAGTGACTCTTGGGGAGGATGAGTCTAAAGTCTGTTCTCACATGCCTCTTCCAGACTCAGTCCTGCAGATCCTCACTGCCTTGGGAGTTCTGCAGTAGTTTCAAACGTCACTTTTTGTTTTGCTTTTCTAGTTCTTGGAGGAAGGTTTGTTTGAAGCAACCTACTCCACCATTGTGAAAGGCAAATCCTCAGATGGGGTCTGGAATTAAGACTTCTTGCCACGGTAGTGATAAAAATGGAAAGGCTTATTACTTTTGAGCAAAAGCCAGATTTAATAAAATATTGGATTTGAACAGTACAATTGAAGTTTTATAGATGATACATGTAGAGTACTAAAAATTCTTGAATAAAATTCCCCTGAGAGTTAATTATTGTGAATGTTTTAGTATTTTCCCCCATCCCTCCAAAAATATTTTTATTATGTAAGTTTTGAAAGCACTGGGTTTTGACACAACTGTCATTCACAGCATGAGAAATGATATCATTGCCAGTTCTACTATAGAGATAAGTGGGATAGAAAATCCTTGTTTTTGAAGGATTCACAGAGTCAGAGGAAAATGGACACGGAGGGTGTCTATGGGGACAAAGGAGAAACATCTGTAACAAAAATAAATAATAAAAAAATAAATTAAAAAAAAGAAAATGAACATGGAATTATATACCTGTACCCACAAAATACAGTGCTATGGCTTATTCTGCCAAGGGGATTGGTTCCGGCTTCATCAGAAATTTTAGCTAATAATTCTGGCAGTGTGCATCATAAAAACAGGTGTGACGTGTATAACATTTTCATGATTTGCAAATTTATAGAACTTAAATTTTCTAATTTGTGTTTTCTTTAGATCTTATAGAAAATTTCAGTTGTAGCCCTTGGACTAGAAGCTGAAATAATAGAAGCTGTGTATGATGCATTAGGGTATTGAAGAAAATTAATTTTTGAATTGAATATTTGGAATATAAGGAAGAAAAGGTGACTGAAAATGGGGCGGAAGAAAATACAAATCACACGCATAATGGATGAAAGGAACCGACAGGTAAATAAAAATTTTAACTTATTTCATTGATGTAAATATTTTTGAAAAAGGAGTGTAGGATAAAATGGTTGAATTTTTCTTAAATTTAATTTCAAGTATAAATATTTTTATTTCTAGACTAAATATTTTAGCAATCAAAAAGTTTTGACTTTTATCATGTGCTTTAAAGAAACATTTTTTTTTTAAATTTTAGAAATCGTGTTAATTACACAAACATAGGCAAAGGGAGGGCAAGTAAAATCACTGCATCTCCACCACTGCCATCGACTGTGCATCGACTCTGTACATTGAGCGTTCATTTCCTGTAGATTGGTCATTTTACATTATCACCTCTATTTTCATAAGTAGGTAATACCTAAGTTACAACTATCAGTGAATGTGTTTTGGTCAGTTAAATTTTCTGGTTAACCAACAAATGATAATTTTTTTTTTTTTACAACTCATCATCACAGATACTCTAAATCATTTATGTACAGGGTGGGCAAAAGTAGGCTCACAGTTGTCTCTATGGAAAATAATACAATAGTTAATAAATAATACAAGAATAAACTCTTTTGCATACTCACGACAGTAAACCTACTTTTGCTGAGTAAACCCTTACAAGTTCAGGATACTTACAGTGGTACTGATCTATGAAGACCTAAAGTTGTAAGGGTTTTAACGCAGGGGTTGGCAAAGTGTGGTCCGTGGGCAGGCTGCCTGTTTTTGTAAATAATGCATTATCAGAGCACGGCCACGCCCATTTGTTTACGCATAGTCTGTGGCTGTTTTCACATTACAGCAGCACAGCTGAGGAGTGACCCCGGAGACTTGTGGCCCACGGGTCTGTGTCTGCTGTCTGGCCCTTTAAGGGAAATTTTTTCAACCCCTTGGTTTAAAAGAAGGGAAAATAATCTCCCAGATTATAAATGAACTATTCAAAGTATACTGGAAAAGCTCCCGATGAGAAGTCTGGAGCGCGGCCCTGGACGCTCGCCAGGAGCTGAGCAGCACTGCGCCTGTTCTGCCCGGTCCCAGTGTAACGGAGCGGCTGGGAGAGGTCAGCAGGAGGGTTAGTGCTGACAGACCCGACCGGAGAGGGTCTTGTTCAGCTCATGCAGATGCGGCGGCTAAGTTGTAAGGCTCACACGGTAGGACTCATTACCAAGGTTGATGAAATAGGGGAGGCTGATAAAAGACCTATTCCCTAATTCCGTAGGATGATTCTGAGCAAGGCTGCAGGTATTTTCCCTTCACAGACCTCGGGGTTTTGACGTGTAGTGGAGGCAAGGGAAGCTGTGTTATGAATACATGCAGTGTACATGTGAAACAGTGTTTATTAGGGAAGAACATACAAGCAGAGAAGTGACAAGGACATAAGATCCCCTGAGCTCGAGCATCCTTTTAAATTGAGAACAGAGAGACGGCACCTCCCAGGGGAAAGGACTCCACTTGATTGGAGGAAAAAGGGGTACCAGGAATATGTAAGTGACTATGGAACATAAACTTTTCAGGTAAGGAAATGACCTTGTTAAAAAGTTGGAGCCTGCCACTCTGATAGCTCAGCAATTAGAATGAGATGTCTTATACAACTGATGTCGAGGAGGGAAATCTCTGTGTGACAATCATGAATGCCTGATTGAAAACTTTATAGTTGAAGCAAAATGTAGACTGTAAAGGAGTATTTTCCTGCTTTGTATCTTATTTTGTTATATCTGATCTTCTAGGCAGAATGGTCTTATCTTAAGCTATAGTCAGTATAGTAGTTTCCCCTGTCCATGGGGATACATTCAAAGACCCAGTTTCATGTCTGAAACTGAATAGTACTGAACCCTTATTTGTACTATGTTTTTTTTCCCTATTCTTGCATACCTGTTCACTTAAAGGAAGCACTTTCTGGCCACTCTTTGGCATATTCAAATTGCCAGCATCACTACTTTTGTGCTTTGGGGCCATTATTAAGTAAAATAAGGGTCACTGGAACACAAGCGTTGCGGTAACATGACAGTTGATCTGATAACCCAGACGGCTGCTAAATGACTAACAGGTGAGTAGTATATACAGTGTGGACACACTGGACAAAGGGAAGATCCACGTCCTAGGCAGGATGGCTTGAGATTTCATTGTGCTAATTCAAATAGTGCCTAATTTAAAATGTATGCATTGTTTACTTCTGGACTGTTCCTTTTGATATTTTCAGACCACAGTTGACCATGGGTAACTAAAACCTCTTAAAGCAAAACCACGGATAAGGGGTACTGTTTCTTCTGGAAGAGTTTGTAGAATATTGGTATAATTCCTTAAATGCATGGTAGAATTCACTAGGGGACTTGTCTGGGCCTGGTGGTCTCTGTTTTAGAAGGTTATTTATTATTGATCCAATAATAGACAATTTTAATAGACCTATTTCTTGTGTGGGTTTTCGACAGATTGTGTCTTTCCGGGAATTGACCTCTTTTATCTAGATTATAAATCTGTTAGGCATAGAGTTAATATTATTTCTTTCTTATCTTTCTAATGTATGTGAGATCTGCAGTTGAGTTGTGATGGTCCCTGCTCACATTTCTGATATTAGCAATTTGTATCTTCTTTTTTCTTAGTTACCCTGGCTGGAGTTACTGATTTTATTATTTTCAAAAGCCAGTTTTTGGTTTGTTGATCTTTCTCTATTGACTTTCTGTTTTCAATTTCATTTCTGCTCTAATTCTTTCTTCTGTTTTCTTTGGATTTAATTTGTTCTTTTTCTAATTTCTTAAAGTGGTAGCTTCAATTATTGATTTTAGATCTCATCTTTGCCAATATGTGCATTCAGTGCTGTGAATTTTCTTTAAGCATTGCTTTCATTGCATCCCACAAATTTTGATAAGTTGTATTTTCACTTTTGTTTAGTTCAAAATAGTTAATTTTTCTTTAGATTTCTTCTTTGACCTCAGTGTTATTTAGAAGTGTGCTCTCTTATCTCTAAGTGTTCTGGGTTTTCCAGCTGTTTTCTATTATTGATTTCTTATTTCATCCATTGTCATCTGAGAGCAGCGTGCATTGTGTGCTTTCTGTTCTCTTAAATCTGTGAAGCTGTGTTTTTTGGCCCAGAATGTGGTCTGTCTAAGTGAATGTTTCATGTGAACTTGAAAGTGATGTGTATTCTACTGTTGTTGGATGAAGTGGATAACGGTTATATTCAGTTGATTAATGATACCGTTGAGCTCAGTTATGTCCTTACTGATTTCCCCCAATGTTTTTGGTAGAATGGTATTGAAATCTCCTACTGTAATAATGAGTTCATCTATTTCTCCTTGCCTCACAGATTTTTGATACTCTGTTAGGTTCATACTTTTAAGGATTTAGAGATTATTATGTCTTCCTAGAGACTTGTTCCCTTTATCATTAGATAATGCCCTTCTTTATACCTGGTAATTTTCTTTGTTCTGAAATCTATTCTGTCTGAAATTAATATAGCTACTTCAGTTTTCTTTTGGTTAGTGTTAGCAGAGTATATCTTTCTCCATGTCTTTACTTTTACTCTATATGTCTTTATATTGAAAGTGGGTTTCTTACAGATAGCATATATTATTAGGCATTGTTTACTGATTCACTGACCATCTTTATTTTTTAATTGGTATTTTAGACCATTGACTTTTAAAGTGATTGTTGATAAGTCGGAATAGTATCGACCATATTTGTGTTCGATTTGTTACCCTTGTTCTTTGTTTTTATTGGGCTTATAATCTTTTTCTGTTTTTTGTTTTTGTGTGTGTGTGTGGTTTTAATTGATCATTTTATACTATTCCATTTTCTCTCCTTTCTCAGCATATCAGTTGGACTTAATCTTACTCTTAGTGGCTGCCCTCGGCTGCTCAGTGACGTTTGCGGCTGACCCAGCCCTGCTCTCAAACAGCTCTGTGCATCTCCACGGGCCGTGTGCAGCTCCACGGGCCGTGTGCCTCCCTTTACTGCACCAGAGTCCTCCTTCCCCCTTTCTGTGGCCCTGGCGTGCTGTTGTCATGGTCCCTTGAGGAAGAATTCGAGGTTCCTGATGGGAACCTTGTTCAGCTAGATGGTAAGGGGCCACTGGTCAGCTGTTTCTTTCTCTGGTCCTTGCCTTCTGCAGTGGATGGCAGCCAGGGAGAAAGGAGTAGCTCCGCAGGAGGCCGCCCTTCCGGAGCCCTTGGAGACCCAAGACGTGTGCCGGACTGCAGTCCTGTGGCCGGTGGGGCAGCAGAGTCAGGGAGCACGAGGCTAGGAACCTGTTCCATCTGGGAGTCTGATTCAGTGTTGAGGCTCAAGTTCAGGGGCCTGTATTCAAGTTCTTCTGCTGCTCTGAATAAAAAGACACGATTTTTTCTTTGATTGTCTAGGTCACCTTTACAAAGAGAAAGTTTGGATTAATGAAGAAAGCCTATGAACTCAGTGTGCTCTGTGACTGTGAAATAGCACTCATCATCTTCAACAGCTCCAACAAGCTGTTCCAGTACGCCAGCACCGACATGGACAAGGTCCTTCTCAAGTACACCGAGTACAACGAGCCTCACGAGAGCAGAACCAACTCGGACATCGTCGAGGTAACGCTCGTGCGCCCAAATTGCAGATGATACTGAGGCCTTTCATTGAATAACTTTAACTGTTAGATTGTTTCTTACATCCAAGATATACATCAGTTATAGATACATCTTTTCTCTGAATCATGTCTTAGGAGGATCTAATTGCCTCTGTATGAGGAACCGCTTACAAACATGCCCTGTTCACTGAGACAAAACCAACGAGGCTGTTGTACCATATACCCAGTATACGCTAGCATTCCTCCATGATCACTCACTGGATGAGTTTTTAAATTAATGTCCTAAGAAACTCTTACCACTTTGGACAGTATGAAGTTACAATTTTAATGTCTTAATTGTTTCATTATGTCAGTGATTACCCATAACTCTAAACACTGATGAAGTTAAAGAAAAAGATGTAAACAATAATCCTGTTTTGCTAATAGTCCTTTAGTTGTTGGGGAAGGATATCCTCATTTTACTTTATCTGCTGCCCTTCAGTATTTTTCATAATTCTGCCAACCTAATGAACCAAAACGAAAGAAAATGGATTTTTAAAGAATGATTTCTATCTGTTCAGAAATAGCGTTTTAAAACAAAACTTTCAAAAAGGCAAACTAATATGCTTCCCCTTCTAAAATAAGGTAACTTTCCATGTATATTTCTATTAGCATTTTAAATTAGCTTGATCTTTATTTTTGTCTTTTTTTGCTTTTATTGAGAGATTTTGCTTCATTTTTTTTTCATCCCCCCCCCCCCACTACTTGTAAAGATAAATACTTTGGCTTAGTTTTGTAATATTAGAAAATGACTTCAATAAATTTAGGTATATCCTTGGTGACAGTGCCGAAACCATGTGGGATGATGCAAAACTGACTATAAGAGAAGAGGTGGCGCTCCAATCTAGATTTTGTTCAGATCATTGCAGTTGGGATAAAGAGACTTCATTGTGTAGGAGTCTGATGTATTTGCCTCCACAGATTATATTACGGTTCTGACAGCGAGTTTTAAATTTCCCCTGTATTTCTCTGCCTTGGCCATTCCTTTTCGCACAGTAATTCTTACAGCAAAAAGTGCTACTTGTATTGAAAGAGCATTTCTGTTACTTTTCAGCAGTTAATCAGTTGTTTGAAAAGAGAAAGAAAAGTATAGCATGCTTATAGCGAGGACTCATCTCCTCTGCTTTATTTAAATGGCTCACTGTGGTGAACCTCCCCTGAAATGTGTCTGAAGCTTTTGTTGAACTCTGCAGTTAAACTGCATGGTTACATCTTTAGCTAAACCCCTTACACAGTTCTATCAGCTGTACATTATTGGTATCATTGAGCAGTTTTGGAACATCTTCCCACTTACAGCAGTGTGAACTGTTCAGTAGGCTTTCCCTGTTCTGTAGATACAGTGAGGACTTCCGGGGATCACCATTCCGATGGGCTATGTCAGAGACTTCCTAACTGGATTTCCTTGAAATGGGGATGGAGTATCCCTGGTGTGTTTAGTTTAAAACAATACCTTTTTTTAGAAATCTCTATTTTTTATAAAAAGTTACACTGCCTTAAACAAAGAAATGGAGTTGATTTTTAATGCTGTCAACAGATGTTCAAGCCCCTCTCACTATGGAAGGGAGCAGCCGCCTTCTTAACCCTAACTGCGCGGCTCTTCCATCGCGGCAGTGTTGTTCTTGGCCCCAGAAGTGGAGGGCGCTTCGCACAGGCTAGAGTGTACTTCCTTAGAGAGCGTGGAGATGTAGTCTAATACAGTCCTCAGAATTTTCGGAAGACTGCCTCCGTCTGCATCCTGTCATGGTCAGCAGTCCACGTGTGAGGGAGTAGACCCCAAGCATTTTTAGCAGTCTCCTATATCACAATCTGCTTCAGTCTGAAGGAGAACTTTTGTAGCCCTGTTATAATTGGGATTTTGATATTTTCTTTTTAATTGGCATTCTTAGAAGTGAACATCAATCTTAGCAATAGGTTTTTTATAAAGTTCTGAATAACATAAATACAAAGGATAGAAGTCACACTTGATTATGAGATTAATTTGTTGTGGTGGAATAAACTATAAGGCGTAGTTCACCTTTCCAGTATGTTACTGACTTACTGAGTTCACCTGTGTGTAAGACAATGGTGGTTACACTTGTAGGATATTCTGTCTCCCACATATAAGGTGATACGGCTGCAACCTCACTAGCAGTGTGTATATATCCAAGTTCTTCTTGTCAGCTGTGGTCATGGCTTATGTTAATGTAGCTACAAAAGTGGTTGTGAGCCAAAATGAGTTCACCAGATAAGAGTAGTGACAGATGCTTATATTGAGCTTCCTATAGGCCAGACACTTTTTAGAATGCTTTACAAAGATCTCATTTAAGGATATTTTTAGAATACCACTATAAGTATTTTTTTTTCATATAGTTTCTTTTCAAACAGTGGGCTCTGCAAAGTGATGTTATTTAGAGATTTCTAATTCAAGCCACTGCACTGTTCTTTCCTCCCAAGTTTTATAATTCATTAAGACCGACTTTTTCCAACTGAAGATTTTATATCTGTAAACTTCCAACACGTTGGTGTGTGATGTTCTAGACTCTTCAGCCATGTCATGTGGCTGAGTACATCGGCATTACCTGGAGGCATGAAAACAGCTCTAAGTGACCGGCTGTAGTGTGTTTCCTTATGCAATAGGATCAACGGTGTAATTAACTGAAAACTTCGTGAACTCTTTCATAAGGCCACTAACCCGCATTCACCGATTTCCTGTTGCATCTGTGTTAGTCTTTAAATCAGGAGGATTTTCCTTTAATGTCCTCTGACAGTCTTGCATATATTAAAATGGAGGCTTCTGGAGATGTATTTCTGTCGTATTCTACACACCAGCCCTTCCGGGATGAACTGTGAAGAGGAAGGACGACGGTGTCCTGTGTTGGCTGCACCTGCGTGGTCTGCAGCTGCAGTAGTGGGTTGTGCCTGTGGAGTCAGGCCGCATGGTGTCTGGGGGCACTGCCGCGAGTGTATATTAAAGTTGCTGGTATCTGAGTACTCTGAGGATAAACACAGAGAAAGACCTAACACGCACTTATCTACCTTTCAGTTTTTAGCCATGGGTATTAGAAACACTCTACAGAATAATGTTGTCCTTGTTTTACCTTGTTTCATATTACCTGTATTTTAAAACTAGTTTAATCAACTTTAAAATTTTATTTATAGCTGATAAATTATTTCTATGTAGCTTTTTAAAAAATCAACATTTGCATATTTTGAGTATGGCACTTAGGTGTTTTAAATTAAGGGCTGCAGTGTCTTGTAGGATGTATATACCCCTTATATTGGGGAAACTATAAATATATGAAGATGGAAACTTACACATTAGTAAATAAGGTTGTCATTAACAAACTTCATAAGAACTTTCATAACTGGATTTTTTGAAATGGAGAATATCACTGCTTTGTTTAAAATGACATCTTATTTGAAAATGTTTTATACACTGCTTTTCATGAATGTAATTTTTACAAAAAATGAGTTTTATTAGCTTATTTCTTTTATTAGATATTATGCAAAGGCTATCATCAAAGATATACATTGTATTTTTTGTTGTTAAACATTAATATAAAAATAAGTGGCGTCTGGCTGGTGTGGCTCAGTGGTTGAGCGTTGACCCTGCACCAAGAGGTCACCAGTTCGATTCTTGGTCAGGGCACATGCCCAGGTTGTGGGCCTGATCCCCAGTCGAGGCGGCCAGTCGATGTTCTTTCTCATCCATGTTTCTATCTCTCTCTCCCTCTCTCACTTCCTCTCTCCCTGAAATCAATAAAGCAAAAAAAAAGTGGCAAACTTTTGTTTGATCCTACAAAAAGCAGTAATTTAATTGAAATGTATAAGAAAATGTTATAACCTTCAAGTTTTCAGTAAATTAAGATTTTAAAACCTGTGAATTGTATTTATTATGCAATTATATAGGAACATTAGCTATATCCTAGAATACTAGCAACTAAAAATGAAAATCACCAGTCAGTTGCCATTGCTTACAGAGGGGCAAAAGGGGGTTCGAGTTTTGAATACATGAACACAGAGCTTACTCTTGTGTTCCTATTTATTAATTATTCTTATTTCCATCTAACAACTGTAAACCTCCTTTTGTTTCATCCTGTATACACGTGTGTATATACATTGAATTTATACTAAGGTAAAGCCCAGAACCAGCGGAAAGGTTCTGCATCAAAATAAATACTATGCTAAAGGCACACATGAGGGTTTCAGCAGCTGCTACACAGTAAACGCCTGAAATTACTTTTTTTTTGGTACATGCTCCTAGCAGAAACTGAACCTGGGACTCTCTGGTCCGCAGGCCGACACTCCAACCACTGAGCCAAACTGGCCAGGGCTGAAATTACTTTTATATCCCCCTTTTTTTGCTTTGCAAGAATATTTGAAATATTAGATATTCCTGCTGAGTATTTTTTAAATAGCTGTGATTTGGTGGCGCTGGAGAATATCAGCAGTAGCCTATGTGTGAGTCAGATCCCGCGCTGTCGTGTAGGGGTGTAAGCACGGGGCCATGGCCACGTGTCTCACCTGTTCACATCCGGTGAGCTGTTCCCAGATAGAGGTATTTTATTCACCACAGGAATACTACAGAGCTTAAAAAAACTTGCATTATCTCATTTGATCTTCATAACCTAGGTGAGCTTTTTCAGAGTAGAAACGGAGACCCAGGTAATGTTTTGTGCCGAGTCAGGTGGCACTTGAGTGGCAGAACTGCAGTTAGAACCCAATCTTTGCCACGGCCGCCTCCCTTTGTCCCCGTTGCTGAGTCCTCTGGTGCTCTGGACTGTTTCACCAGGAGCAGATAAGATTCCATACCTATACCGTCATGTATAACATGTAGCAGACATGAATAAGCTTTCCCCAACAATGAACAGGAAAAAGTGAGGATAAGTGTAATAAGAATAATAGATAACACTCATCAAGTACTTAATGTGACCTGGGTTTGTGTGTATATTATCTCACTAATTCCTCTGTTGAGGCCTCACAACT